GGTTCACACTCACTTACACATCCACTCACACTAGACTAGTCTTTCGGAAATTAGTTTTTCGTTTCTGTGGTAGTAGTAGAGGGTTGAGCTGATAATCTGCCGTTAGATTCGGTCTTCAATGAATAGAGGGTCGGACCGAGGGTTCAAATGGAAACCGAAAAAAAAAATGGGGAAGTGGCCCCTCGCCGAAAATAAATACATACATTGGAGTTGTACTGAAGAATAGATAGAACAAGAAGATGGATTGGAGAACTTTGGAGACACAATAGATACTTGTGTGTTTCCGAAAAGAAAACATGTAGAAGGAAGAAAAAGGAAGGAAGAGGAGGACCCTTCTAAAATGAGAAAAAGTTTCCAATTTTCTTGTCGTCGTCGTCGGCGACCGCTTTTGAAGTTTTTCGGGTAGGCGAGTTGTGCCGAAAATAGGAGTGATGAGCACAAGAATGTTAAAAAGGAGAAGAACAAGAAAATAAGAAAAAGAAAAAGTCTGAAACCAAATTGTGAGCTTTGAATTTCGAACAAATCGAGTATAACGAAAAATTCAAAAAACATAAACAACGAAAATCATGTTATTAGGTTGGCAGGAAAGTAACTGTCCATTTTTTAATTAGTAAATAAAACAAAAACAAGATCAATCCAAGATTGACAGTATGTACCGTCGTGATCCACAACATGTTGTCAACATTTAGGTAACTCGTGGATACCATCCCTCCAAAAGCCGGCTGGGCGCGAATCAAAGTATTACTGTAGCACATCTTTTTTCTCATCGATAATGTTAAAGTCCTTACGCTCCAGATGAAGTCGTATATCTTCGAATAACCAATAATCAAATAAAACAAAATCAAAACTTTCACGGGGGTAAAGGAGAACCGTCCAGCCAAAGCGGCTGAGGAACGACGTGACTTTCCGTGAACATGCAGTTTTTTTCATTTTTTAACGACAGGCAAGTTAGACCTGAGCTGCGAAGGGTATCCACAAAATACCTGAATGTTGCCAACATGCTATGGACCACGACGATGCATACTGCTAATTTTGGCTTAACCTGGTTTTTGTATTATTCACAATTAAAACAAGGGACAGTTACTCTTCTGCCAAACTAATAGAAATAACTTTTTCTGCAATTTATCTTTATTGTTTTTGGTCCTAGTTTATAGTGTCAACATTTTGACAAAAGCTGGCTCAAAAAAAAAAAAAATATAGAAAAAAAAACGTACTAACGTTTTTTGCGCATAAATCAAAATGAAGGTCCTAGTTCAAATCGTAGTGACGTCCCCATGGAGATCATTGATTTTGAGAAGAGTATGAAATAGTGGTGTCACCTTTAGCTAGATTTATTTTCGAAGACAATAAAGTATTCCCAGCTTGTGATTGATGGAATTTGAATAAAGAGCGTCTAATGAATTCAATGGGTTGTGTGGCGATAAGTGCCCCGAGGTGAGGAAGACGAAGACAACGATTGAGGAGGAGAAGGGTGACAATGCGCGAAATCAGATAAATTTTCCTCAATTCATCAGAGCGTGCACTAATGTAATTCCATCAATAAGATTTAAGAGGGGCAACACTTGTTTCACGGTTTTCAAGGAAACTTGAAGAATTATTTTGGATCGTTCTAGGAGTATTTTGATTCTAAATTTGAACACCGGACATTCAAGGAGAAGGCATTTATGATGAACATTCATCCCAGAAAAAAAAGAAAAAAGAAAACAACCTTGAAAAACTCAATTAAAAATTTGACATAAAGTTGTTTTTACAACCTAACAACATCCGAAACGTCGTTGCTGACATTAACACAAGAAAACGTGGCCTTGGTCGTCCAGATGAAATGTTGCCAAAAAAGAAGTAAGTAAATTGGATGAAGGTTAGGAAAATGAAATACTAGGGATTTTTTTCTGCATCTGCGTGTGGTTACGCGTACTGTTGAAGATAACTAGGACAATTATAAAACGCCGCTTTCATTTCGTTTTGTCCTCATCCCTTCCCCGACCAATTCCACTCAACAACACTCATCCGAACGCCCTCGTTTGAATGTTCTATTTTGAGGTAACTACTTTGGATGCCATTACGTTTCAGGAAAGAGACCAAAACCGATCGAAAGTGATCCGCAAAACTGTTTCGGTTTGTTCTGTGACCGTGCGCACCGTAATTATGTCCTGGAAGGATGTTGTAAAAATTTTGAAGGATTTTATACTTATAGTTGATTGATTTCTGTGAAAAGAGAGTGTAAAACTATAAATAGATAAAATCAATTGAGTGGAAATGAAGGAAATCGAATAAGATTCTTCAGACATAATCTTGAAATTTCAGTATCACAAAAATGAGGACCAAATCGTATTAAACGGTTGTTACTTAATTCAGAAATTAACTCAAATCAGGAACCATCAAAGCGTGGCATATTGACAAAAAGTGCTGCCAAACAAGAAATTAACGTGGAAAAAATCTAGATAAAAATTGTTTTTGTTATATTTTTCCCTTAGAAAAACTCAGTCTCCCCAAGTAAAACACTTCTCAAAAAAAAGAGTAAAACAAATGACAATGGGTTAGAAAGATTTAAAAAGTAACAAATCTTCTGAATTTTCAAAAAACTCATATTCTTTTTTGATCTCCCACTTTTTTGCTCGCTTGTTCTTGTTAAGAAGAGTAACATTTTTCTCTTAACACGCACCACCATATCGGTTTTTCTCGAAGAACTGAATGAATAACAAGAACGAGAGATCGAAAATATATGCGAAGAGCTCATCTTCAAAATGCTCAACGCATGCATAACATATCAGACAAGGCTACAATTTTGCCAAAATGTTTGAAAGAGCAAAGATCTAGGAGATAGAATGAGCCAATTTGAAAATTGCAATTATTTGAAACAGAAAAATTGGCAAGTTTTATAGTAACACGAAATATATTCATTTTTCACATTTGCCAAATGCAAAGAAGGCGGAAAATGAGCCATATGCCATCCGAATGAGTGGCTCCTAAATTAGATTGGGCAAATTTCTTTCAAGAATTTCTCCGTTTTCTAAGTGAATGAGCGAAGGCGTTCAGATGGTTAGTCAGGCCGATAGGATAAAGCAACGATGTTTGAAAGAGTTAAGAAACATGTTTACTGGCATGTTTTAGTCCAAATGAAATGTATCAAGAAAAAAATGTTATTTTGTCCAATAATTCTAAAGTATGGAAACAAAAAGTATCTGAAGTTGCGGAAAATCAAGTCCTGCGGCTTCAGAGTTTTTTGTGGGAATAAGGGTTTTGCGAGCGCAACGCATGATATTTGTGAAATAAAATAGTTTCAATTCAATTACTTTATTTCTTACGGAGGATACTTGAAGTCTGTAAACTAACAAAATGTTGCTCATATCATTTCAAACATTTATCCAGTTGACATTTTTTAATCATAATTTCGGAAAACCGAGATAGTTGGCTGCTAACTAGCATAAAGCGTTTTCTTTGTAGAACGAAATTGTACCAAACGAAAACCTTTTCAGTTTTTCTTGTTTTCCAAAGCAGTGAAGCTGAGAAAACCATACGGACAACGGGCCGAGAACGGCCGGGCTTTTTTCAGAATTTTTCACAATCCGGTCTCGGTTTTCGATAACTTTTTTGTCTTTTCAATAAAATTTTTAGGGGAAAACAGTATGTTCAGAAAAAGTTTCTTTTAAAAAAGTTCTTTTCATCAACCAATTTTATTGAATTTTTGAGAAACACAATTTTTCCGACCATCTGTTTTCATACGAAAGCGAATACTGATTTTTCGGTTCTGTAGTGTTTTTATGCGAAATCGTAGTTTGCGCTTGAATGACAGTGGTGGCAAACTTGAAATTTCTGAGATCGAGTTGTTTACACTCAATTTGATGTTTTTCTAGCGAAAATTTTAATTTCAGCTCGCTTTACAATGGTCACTGCGTGAAGAATTTTAATTTTCACAATTGCACACCAAGCGAGCTTGAGTTTGCAGAACATGAAGCAAATTGCAATATAGCAACCCTGAGTAGAAAATCAGAATGAAACCTCCAATTGAACAGTGTGACGTTTTTCTCAACTTATCTAAAAACTATCTAGAAAAAAAAGGCCAGAAGAAGCTTTCGAGCTGAAACAACCAAGCAGCGTGGGTATAACGAGGTGGGAAAATCGTTTGGATATACAGCAAGATGAGATTCAACAGTTCTTGATCACTTTAATCATTCTCAAAACCGAAACGCAAAGAGATGAACAATTTTAGCTAACTGGCGCGTGTTTACCGCTTAACAAAGAGGAAAAGTTTGGCAAGAGTCTTCCGAGGATAGCTAAACATGATGGACAAAAAACTGATAATAATGAAGAACTTGAAGAAACAAACCTTTGGATCAGAAAACGTCAAAAACACAACTAAAGTAGAGACACGAAAGAGCCAAAACAATCAAAATCGAAGACGCCAACAGAAAAAACAAGGTTGTGGTGATTTCTTTACTTTTTCAACTTTTTTCATTCCGAATTTTTAGCAATCGTTTTTTTTGTTCCCTTTGTTGAAGTTTGAAGAGGACAGGGAAAATGTATCAGTTATTTTTCACTAGTTTCAGTCTTAATTTTTCATGTGCACCATGAATTTATCCCTGAAACATTCCTCTTTTTTATTCACGAGCCAGAATGAACATCAATCTCTTCCAAAATTCTCATTTCTCGCATTCAAAAAAACTTCATACTTCGAATACTAGATGTAGTATCCGCCCACGTCAACTAATCCAGCCTCCGCACTCCAATTTCCCATCGAAAAATGTCAGAGAGCTCCTAGCATCCGTGAAACGAAGGAAGAAGGAACTAATCTTCTTCCGAGTGTCCATGACAACAATATGTCCTGAAAGGGCTCTCGCGCCCATCTGTGCTCTCTATTCCCTTGCTTCCCGCGCCAACATAATCGCTTCAGAAAAATTTATCGAGCGAGACGTATTGCTCTCAGCCATTTTCATTTCTTCTTGCTCTCTCGTGTAGAGCTGCTTTGCTTGTTTCTCAGTTTCCTGGAAATACTACTCAAGATGGATGAAGATGCGCCTAACAAGCGCAACAAACTTTTTTCTCTCAAGGAATTAAGTGTGAAGTCATTGGCGCCGATTGTGGAGAAGAGTGAGTGAACATTTTATTTCCTAATTGTAGTTATTCATGGAATAATTTATTTTGAAGATAATGATTAGTTGTAAACGTCTGTGTACACACTAAAAACTTCTCTCATAAAGTATAATTATTTCTTGTTGACATTTTATAGAAGTCTATGAAAACAACTCAACCCAAATTGATCTAATTGCGAGCCAACAATTACTTGCTTATTTTCTTCGAGACACCTGCAATGCAGAGCAGATGAACAAGTTCACAAAGGCTATGACTTCTTCATTAAACCTCACTGACTTGAAAATCACCCATGAAAAGATAAATAAAGAAACTTGTGATAAAATATTCGGTTTCAAAAATTTGTCTTCTCTTGAACTCGGCTCATTAGCTTCTTGGACCATGTTTCATTTGGACCAGAGTTTGTTCGCAGGTAATATAATTGTTTTCTCCTCTCATATACCGACAATGAAACTTGAGATGTACCACTAGTGGATGTCATCGAAGCGTTGCGCAATATTTTGTGTGAAGAAAGTCGGATTCAACTTCAGAGTCTTGCTATCACAAACGATCCAGTGACGTTTCGAACTGGGTGGATGTGTGAGGTTTGTAAAAGGGATTATTTCAGAAATGGGGGGGGGGGGGGGGTTCTAAAACTCTAGTCTGTTGATTAAGTTGTTGTGCCGCACGTTGAATAGTAATCCTTCAGATGAAAGGGATTCTTCCGGCGCTCACAACTCTTAATCTGGAGAAGATGCCAATTTCGGAATCCGAATTCGATGTCATTTGCGAGTCGCTTTCACTTCTCGAGTCATTCTATGTTTCTAAAATTGGAAATCTCACAGGAATTTCAAATCTAAAGAATCTTCAAGACTTTCACTCGATTGATTCCCAGTTCAAAGGTCCGGAAGATGTAATTGACATTTTCAAACTGAAGAATCTAAAAAAGTTAGACTTTCGTGGAGAGCAGTGAGTCAAGTTCAACACTCTCAGTTTATAGAAAACATTTTCAGATGTGTCCATCTGCCATGTGTCCGTTTGTATTTGGACTGCGCAATGAGCTTGTTCTCTCTAGAATTTTTCAATTGTATGAAAAATGCAATATCCGCAGAAGATGTTAATCTGCTCGCTACCTCTCATCCTCAGCTTAAAAGAATTTTTGTCCTTGGTAATTGATTCAGCATATGGCTTCAAAAATTTGTCAACTCTTGAAATTCAGATACAAGACTGCAAGATGTTTCACAACTGGAAACGTCTAACGACCAATTGCATTTGATATCAAAGGGATCTCTTTGGCAGTGTCTCGAATCATTGAAACTCTTAGATATCCGTACTCAGTCAGAACTGATGAATGACGTTTGCGTCGAGATAATCGGCTATTTGTCAAACTACGAGGCGTACTCCAAAACAGTCATCTTCGACTGCTTTGGCGTTTTGACTCAGATTTTGAGAGGAGAGTTGAAGTTTTTCATCGGGAAGCAAATTCATGCCAATGTGTTAAAATGCTTGGAGCTGTTGTGCCGGTAAGAGGCTTACTTAAGTTTATATTGGACAACATTTATTTCAGTGGCGGTCGTATCGAAATGTTCAATAAACTCACAAAATTGAACTTTATTGACTTACTGCTCGAAACTATCACATGGTTCAATGGGCGCTCGGATTCAGTTGTGTGGAATATACACTCGTCATCGTGGAATATTCTCCACGATATATCAACGTCTACACTTCCAGAGAAGAGCAGAGAATTTCTTTTCTGTCAAGGAATCGAGCTATTGGAAAATGCGGAACACGTTTTGATCGCTCCAAAAAGCTGTCTGGATCTCATGACAAAATATCTTGAAAGCAGGACAGAACAGCTGGAAGATTTTTTGATCTACTCGAAACTTGTCCGAAAAGTTGCCGGCAATGTTGCAGATCTTGCTAAGCTCAAGTTCACTCCTTTATTTATTGCAACCTGTAACTTTTTGGGCACCTTGCATAACATCTGTGCGGTTGGACGAACGGAAATGACCAAATTCATCATCAATTCAATCATGTATGCGTTTAATGTATTTCTGTCGGCGGATTGGTTAACACAAGCCTATGGGTTCCGAATTGTTGAATCGATGTTGTTCTATACTGATCGTGAGACGGTAAAAATAGTGTTCATCAAGCATCTGAAGGGGTTATTCCTGTGAGTTTTTTTTCAGGAATTCGATTACTGTATTGAACTATTTCAGAACACTGACCCAAAATGAAGACAAGGAATGTGCAACTGGACCTGTAATCTCACTCTGTTTTACTGCTTTTCACCTTGTTGAGCGGACATATACAATGAACGAACTTAGAACGGCTGAGAATATTGCACAAATATCTAATCTCCTCCAATTGCTCAAACATAACAAATCAATTGAATATGTTGATGTCATGGCAGATTTCAATTCAAAATTGACCAGTCCCATGCTCCTTGCCTGGACGAAATTCATGACGACGTCTTGATACTTTTTTGAAATTCACCTCATATATTTGTCTTTTTCAAATTGAAAATAATGTTATTCTGTTTTTTTATGATGATTTATTTTGTTAGTTTCTTAATTATCAACTAAATGTTATTATGATAAGTTTCAATATATTTCCAATATACATAAATAAAATAAAAACGTTGAAAATTATGCTAATTTATTAAACGGAAACTTCCATGCCGGAAGTTAACACTGAAATCCGGAACCTGCTTACAGGCGACTCCTGAGATATTACCTCGCCCGGCTTGACAACAGATCTCGAAACAGACAGTTTAAAAATTACTTTTTTAAATTGTTTTTATTTGTTTTCTCGGTTTAAAAATAAATTGATTTGCTGATTCCCTTAATCTGATTAAAAGTCAGCTTTGTTTCAGATATCAATTAAATCAATTTTTAAATCCAGATCACGGTAATATTTTAATTGTTCTGATATCGGTACATTTCTAGTAAAAGTTTACTCAATAGGTAATTCTTTTTCATTCTCTGACTTTTTTGGAAAAAACAACAAAAAATCGACGAAAATCAATGAAAAACGAGAAAATAAATACGGAAATAAATATTTTTACGTTATTGTAGGTGTCGCTGTAAAACCTTCAATCATGGCCATCGGTGTTTCTTTTTACAGCTTTGATTTTTTGTTACATCTAAAGCTACTGAAACTCAAATAATGGTAAATATAGAATTTTTTTGAAAATTGTGTTTTCTTCTAGAATCAAATTACAAAGACAAACAACATTTCAGATTCCCAAGTCTATCACGACCCAACGCCCAAAAAAAAACTTGCTTCACGTGTTTTTCCGTTATTGTAATACGGTCATGCCCACCACCGCCCATCATGATTATTCATGCAAATCCGTTTGTTCCGTACCTCTCGACCTATCCATTTCTCTTAATTTCATTCCTGACATTTTCAGTTACAGTTCCCACTAGTCGCGTGATGGAGTTACCGTATGACGGAACTAAATATATATATCCGTTTGTTTTCAAACATTTTTATATTTATAAATCTGATGATAACAAATAAAACCAATCAATCATCAAACTTTTCTTCTTTTTTTCTATTTTTTGAGGGGCTATGACGATTTCCTTTTTGGTCTTTCAACTTTTCTTAATAGAGATCATCGACAACCCAAATACAGGTTGTCCGACCGGAAATAGAAATTCACGACATTTATTGTTCAATAACATGCAAAGAATCAAAGAGGATCAGCTAGATGTTCTCAAAATAGAATCGTCTTGATTCTAATTCAATTATCACCATCAATCATTTTGTCAATATTCTGACATCTGTCGTTTTTTGTACCTCGTTGTACGTTCGGTGTTATATCATGTCTAGAAGATGAGTGTGTTTTATTGAACTGAAATTTGAAACCTAGAGATCCCAATCAAAAATATAAACACCAACTAATTGATGGGCGGAGAAACAAGTAAAGTTATCAGTTGACAAGAGTGCCCAATTGGAAATCTGAAGAAAAAGAAGAATAGCGGTGAGATCGAACGTGAAAGACCAACATTGACATCGAAGGGGACCTGTTGATTAGTCGGCCGTTGGTTTTTTCTTTTCCTTCTGTTTCAAATATTATGCATGAGAAGGTGGTGGTGGAGAGAAAGAGACAAAAAAGTGGAGATGAAAATCTGTCCTCTAAATTTTTGAATCCAGCCACCCCGGGTGGTAGTGGCGTAGCACTTTTGTTTTTACGCCTTCTTTTTTCTTCATTTTGCTACCACTCCTCCTAGTCGCGACGTCTTCTGAAAATAGAATTCATGTTTTTTTTTCGTCGCTTCTTCTTTTGTAATTTTGGAATACACTGTAAGAAAAAGTAGTGGCTTGAATTTTGACCCAAACACACTTACACTCACACCAATACAGTTAAGAGAAACCTTGAGAATCAAGAAAAACCGTCAGAAAATAGAATAACACTGTTACGTACCGCCCAAATGGCTAGTTTTTATTTCATATTTATCAAAAATACGTCATTTTTTGTATACTTGATAATTAATCTAGAACATCAAAATAAGTTTCGAAAACCGTTCCCATTCTTATCATATATTTTCACTGTGGTTTACGTGATAATTTTTTGTGATGGGACTACTTGCACTTCAACAGTATATTCACTATCAATCGAAGATAAAACAATCAAGGTCTGATCCTTTCCTCTTTCTGTTTCTATCCACGCCCTCCAAAATTGGACTTAATCATTTTTTTAAATAAATTTTTATTTTAATTTTCGATTTTTTATACTTCCAGGTGGAGGTACCATCTCAAAACCAACACTGCAACCATGATATTATCAAAAATTATTCGGCCAGAAATGACTTTTAATGGTGAGTTCTTGTGTGACTGGTTAATTTGTAATTAACCGCTTAAAAATTGAAGATCAAAGCGACAGAGGAAGAGGACGCCTGATTATCATTACAAACCCAGAAAGTAGGTTTTTGATTAGCTTACAATCAAATTAACAACCAGAGTGTAATATTTGAACCTTGAATCTGAAACTGTTCTAAAATTTTCTTCAAATTTCGAAAAAAAATTTTAAAGAAAGTTCCTTTTAGATATCTCGTATTACAGACATCACTATCATGTTTTCTTCCTTTCTTCTCAAATTCTTATCAAAAATATTGTTTCTCTCTTGTTTTTTTGTATGTCGCCATGCTTGAAAACAGTTCTCTCATCTTTCCATGCTCTTATCAGTTTTTCCTGTTCTTTTCATTTTTTCTTCGTTTTAGACTTTCTGAAGAGGAAGAAAGTCCACCTACTGATCTTCAGTTTGGAGGGGAGTCCCTGTTTTGTTTCTCACGACGGAAAAATAGGTCTTAGAGAGATAAAGAGACAAGAGGTTGTGATAATAAAAAAAGGCGGCTGCCGGACAACGTTGTCGTCGATGATAGCAGCACCCAGCACATAGATGCATGAAATCACTTTCATTCTTCTTCTAGGAAAATTTTGGTGAATCGAACAGCGCCCACGTAAAAGTAAAGAAATAGATAAGAAAAAAAGGGATACATGTCATATGTTCTCTATTACCGTTCTCCTTTTTTTCTTTTTCACAGAAAGACCACGTCGACCGAAATAATAGTATAGAACTGTACAAGAGAGTTTAGTTCACGTTGCATCAAAAAAGCACGTGAATTGAAGTGTATGGACGATTTCTGTCATTTCGGATAGCCCTTCATCACGAGACGGCTTGTCTAATTCAAAGTGATAAAGGAGAAGGAGAGAGGTACGATTCAATTGGAGAAACAAACGTTTCTTCAATTGGCTTCTGGTCCCGCTGCAAAATTGGGCTAGGGGCGAACAGAGGAGTCTCGATGGGGTGTCTGAATTTTCTGGAGTTTCAAAAGTGTAGAAGAAATATGCTCAAACAATATGCAATACTGGTTTCTAACTTTTAAAATTGAAACAACTGATGAAATGTAGCCATTGACGTCAATGCCACCAGGAACTAGAACTAAAATTCCAACAATAAAAACATCGAATGTGACGATCCGTCAATTATACGTTTCCACATGGCTAGTCTATTAATTCGATACAACGCTACACAGACAGGTCGGATCAGTTTTAGCACTAATTTTCGTTTTTCAATGATTCCTCGACGTTAGATCAGGAAGCCAAGTATCAATTCCATCATCATTGGTTTGAGTTTTGGTTTTTTGATTGACAGTCAATGTAGCTCGTTGTCTCGTGATACCAACAAAAAATTTGCATATCAATTGATAAAAATATATGGAGAACTTTGGTGATGGATTAAAAAGAAAGGAGAGTTCAAAGAACCAAAGCAAGTTAAAAAAAAATCAAAAGTTCAGTGTTTTATGAAAGCTAAAAATGTTTTTAGAATTCCAAAGTTATTTTTGAAACTATCTTCAACTGACGTCAAGAGATGAGAAAAATTGAACGAATGGAGAGATTCGAGATCTATCTTTTTTTCTAAATTTTAAATTTAAAAGAGAATCTCTAACATACTTCATCTTCTGCAAGTTACGAGTTTCAATTTTCGATTGTTTGAATTTTAAACAAACGTTCACTTTATTTATGTTAGTCATAGTTAAAAATCCTGAAGAATTGCATCACTGGTAGGTCAAAAGAACAACAAATGATGACTCATACGACTGAAAAAGAGAAAAAAACAGTTTCAAAAAAAATGTTTCTCCTTGACTCAATATATTCCTTTCGATCTCTTTCAAATTCCATTTTTTTTTCTTTTTTCCTTCTGACTTCTTTTATGCTGTTTGTTCTCTAAGAAAACCTCTGTGCAAACTATACCTCGCAACTTTCTAACACTTGAGAGAAAACTGTAAAGTTGCGTGCTAGAAAATAGTAATATTTGCATTTGTACTTGTTTATTTTCAGCAAAGTAACTATTCGAATAATTTAGTTGATTTCCAACTTCTACCTTTGGTTTTCAAAAAAATCGGAAATCATTTGAGTTATCAGTTAAGCAATACGTTTCCTGCAAAAACTGATAAAATTGTTAGTTAAAATAGTTCAAAATGTAACTGGTTTCTTTTTTAAGTGATATAATCTCATTTTCAAGTCTTTAAGGACCAATATACCGTTTTAAATTAGATAGTGTCCTCCGACAACCTCGAATTCGAGGTCTTCCGTATAATTATTCTTTTGTTTGCTTCCGTCACCCGTACCGTTTTCTCCTAGAAGGTCGCAAAAGTGTGTGAGAACAATAGTCGAAATTTTCGGAAACCCCCGCGAGAACAACTTTCAAAAGTGGAAAATTTAGGAATCGACCGGAGAGAAATAGTTTGTGATGAGACACCAATTTTATTACTTCTCGCCGATTTATTTCTGAAATAAAATTAACTTCACCGTGTCTACCCCGAAACCAGTATGTGTAAGTTCGTTTCTCCATGTTTACTATGTGTATTTTTCTTTTTTTTTCTGACTTTGATGACCCCATGAGAGAATGTATGTAGTAGTGAAAATGTAAAAATGCACTATAAAATGTGTTTAATATTTGTATTTTTACTACAAAGATTAATCAATGAATCGGAGAAACCTGTTTTAAATAACCGCTCTTGGCCTCCGAGAACAATTCTTTTGAATGAAAATAGAGATGGAGAGATAGATGGATGCATATATTTTTCAATTATCAAAATTTCAATGTATTCAGAAGTCTGATTATCCCTCAATCAGTTTATTATCAGTAATTTTTAGTGTTAATAGTGTGGTGCCGCGAGCCGCAGACATTTTATTGATAACATACCATGCTCAAACACATTAATTTTTGCAATTTTTGAAGCCTGCGTTAAATATTGTACAATGTTTCCAAGACTTGGAATTGAAAAATAAAACCGTATCAGACCTCCTGCGTTTCTTTTTTTCTTTTTTCGCGTTTTGGTCTTTTGTGGTTTGGCTAATCTTGTTAATGTCCTCCATCTACAGTTTCAAATGTTTCTTTCTTTCTTTTTCTCCTTTCTCAGGTTGTCCCTATTTCTATCTGTTTTCCCCTCATCTCATCTATCAAGTAGCTAAACCAACAGAAAGTTTAATTTTTTTTCTTGGGAAAACAACGTAGTTATCTTTCGTTTTTTTTCCGCCGATTTCCAAAAAAATTATGATTCGAGGCATAAATGAAAATGTTTATTGTTTGATACTAAATCATAATTTTCGTACTTGTTATGAACCCATAAAATGGTTTTTTTCAGAACCGGGTCTTATAAACCTGAGAGCAATGTTCCAAGCTGGTGACGAGATGAGCGACGCCAGTGGGGATGAGGATGATGTGATTCCGGCACGAGTTGGACAAGCAGTCGGCAGAACTAACGACTCTGAAGTTGAAAATGATGAAGGGAATAATTTTTTCAGAGTGAGTCTTTGTTAATTTTTCATTAATTTATCACAGAGTTTTAGTTCCAAAGAGCTGCACCAGTTTATCCCAAAAATATGATCAACCACAATCTCGACGGAGCGGGATCTACGGGAATGCGTCGAACAACCAGCTCGATCGCGTATGTTTGTTCGTTTTCGCACACTTTATATGTTCATAAAATTTCAGGCGAATTTCCATGGCCATTCGTCGATCGCTTCGTCTTCCACGACGTTCAGAGGCACGTATGGCACCGAGAGAAGAGCAGATTGTAATTGAAAGACCAGTAAGTTTGCATTTTCACGTTGATAAGCAAATCTTTCGGCTTGATTTAACGGGGGTTTAAACAATTAATGGGGGGTTTTGAATATTTGAAGGGGTTTTGGGAATTAACGGGGATTTAAATATTAAACGGGGGTTTTCAGAAGGTGTCAGAGTCATGGTTGGGAAAGTCCCAAAAATGTTCCAAAGTGCTACAGTTTCTTGTTTTTTGCTCATTTCAGTTGATCCATTCTTTTCTGAATGCATTTTTTTGTTTTTTCTTTTTTCATTTCTAATGTTTTATGGAACTGTTCTAGAATTGCGGAACGAATGAAAATCACATAAAAAAATGGGTAGAAAAATTTTGACATTAGGAAACCTTCGTAGATTATAGGCTTAGGCTGAAACGCCATATTTCCTTCATCTAAGTCATCGGAAAATTGGTGGCAAGTTACATAAATCTGCTAGTTCTAACCTCGAATCCAAAATAGAAATGTACCGCTTTCCCGGATCACTTGTCTCGCCAACACCATTCAACCTCTCTAAGAGCAACTATTTGATCGCCCTTCCCTTTCTAAGCCTCCTGTACCTGCTTCCAAGGTTACATGATAGACTTGGATAACGTTTTTTTCGTTCCGTAATTCTAGAACAGTGCCATGAAACTTTAGAAATGAAAAAAGAAAAAACAAGAAAATGATTTCAGAAATGAATAAATCAACTGAAATGAGCAAAAAACAAGAAACTGTAGCACTTTGGAACATTTTGGGGACTTCCCCAAACATCGTCCTGACACTTTTTGAAAACCCCCGTCTAATATTTAAACCCCCGTTAATTCTCATAACCCCTTCAAATTTTCAAAACCCCCGTTAATTTTTCTAATTTTTTTAAAACCCCCGTCAAAAATTTAAACCCCCGTTAATATTTTATACCCCCGTTAATTGTTTAAACCTCCGTTAAATCATAAAGAGCCAATCTTTCCATAAATATGAGAGTTTCTGTAAATTCTCCCGCCGCGATATACTTCTACTTTGAGCTCAATTATCTCAAATTCTGTGAAAGATACAAAAAATTGGTGACATATGCCCGATATTTTATTAGTTGACATATTTTTCCTTTAGAGTAATCGAGATATTTGAGCTTAAAGTTCAAGCATTACCACAAAGTGCTGGTCGAAATTCTATCCACAAGGGACATTCTAGTGGAACATGGTCAACTTTGAATAATTTTTCTGCACAACTACTTGCTGAAAAGATATGCTGCGTGAAACAACTACCCTGATTTTATTCATCCTTTTCAATTTTTGAGGTTTTTTGTTTGACATGAGACCTAATTATCAAATGCATGAGCAGAAAGTAGTGACTTACAAAAACAGGAATAAGTACTTTCACAGACTTTTCAAAGTTAACCATTTTCAACTGAAACTGTCATTTTGGGATAAAATTTTGACCTTGCATTACTTCGATAGAGTCTTTTTTGAATATTCAATTTTACAAAATAAGACAACTCAGAAAATCTAGCATGATTCTCACACATCAAAATTGATACAATAAAAAGAGGAACAACACAAAAAAAATTTGAGGTTTTTCAATTGTTGCAAAATTCACTTTAGTTTTTTTTTTTATTTTTAGTCTCAGTCTTATTCAAATTTGACTCTAAACATGCGAGAAACCGGCAAGATAAATGACTTTGCACCAAAACTAATTATAATATTACAAACATTTCAAAAAGAAACCCAATGAACCGGCGAGATTACACAAACACACGCAAAACGGACCCTCTTTTCTCTCTACACCCGTTGAAAACAAAGACGCAGACGCATAAAAATTTCATGGGCGAACCACCACAAATTGCGTAGCGGCGGAGCGCACCCCGTCCACCCAACGCGGACTATTGACAGCTGTGAAACGGGAGAAAGCTCCACACCGCGTGAAGTAGTGCCCAAAGATCTCCTCACCCGTTTCTCTACTGCTCACCATTGAAACGCTGCATAAATAGCCAGAGCGCACCCGTTTGTCCCCGTCTTCCGCTCTTCTACGCGAGCCCTCATTTTGTCAATAAATGGAACAAAGGCTACACGTTTTGGAGCATTGAATTGCACCAAAACTTATTTCTTTCACAATAACTAGCTTGTAGAGACCGTTTTTCGGTGAGTTATATAATAGATTTTTCGACTATTGTACTTTTCTTTTGAATGGAGAAAAAGAACAGACAATGAAACCTTTTTTATGTGGAAAAACGCGAGAAAAAAAACGTTTTGAAACAACAAACGTTTAAGCGAACAGTCAAAAATAAAACCAAAATCATGAAAAATAAAATAATCATTATTCAGTCATGCCGGAACCCGCTGGTCCATCGGTAAGAAATATTAGAGTGTTGTTATTTTTTGGTACTGTGAAGAGCTCTCTTTTGTATTATTTTGTATTGCTTATTGTTATGCGTGTGGTAGTGGACATTGACAATAGAATGACCATCGATTGAAAAAATATCATTTATAGCCAGAAGGACCACTATTCACCGAGAACACCAGAGACACCCGTATTGGCGAATCGCATGTGCCAAACCTTCTTCAAGAAATTATCGATAACAAACGTTTGAATCGGTATGATAAGGTGAGTAAAAATCTTTTTTTTTTAATTTGAATACAAAAATTAAATTCCTTGTGAAAATTTGAATAATTCGAAAACAAAAAGTAAATCCCTAATAAGTACTTGAACAATTTGAAAAATAGTGGTAACTTCAAAACATTGTAAAGGGTAAGACTTAAAAATTACTATTTAAATGAAGTTGAGTAATGAAAGCAATTATTCAAACTAGCCACACCTTCTTCCCCTTCCTGTCTTGCTGTAACTTTGCAAAAAATATCCGAAAATAAACGTGTACTCTTATGTTAATTTTTTCTATTCCTGAACTTTAAAGTTGACCGGCAGCGCGCGGCAAATCTGTCTGTTTGTCACTCGCCTTGAGAACTTTTTTGTGAGCAAAGGCGGAGCTCATTCCCTGCTCTCTGAGTTCCCGCTTCGCTCCCGCCAGAGACAGTTCGGATTCACACCCTTTTCCGACATTTTATTTTTGTCACTTCGCAATTTTTTCAATCTAAATATTTTGAAAAATGGGATTCGATCCTGTCAGGAATCCGTACTCTGATGAGGAGTACGTTGAAATTCCGAAAATCGAAACTCTACGCGAACGTATCGAGGCTAAGCGACAAAAAATAGCTGAACTACTGTCGAAATTCATTGCTTTATCTGATGATTCTGGTCTAGAAACAGATATTGACGACAGCTATCAGGCCAAATACCAGTTTAATAATTTATCGGTGAGTGATACAGATTTAGAAGGTAGGACGTAGTTGATACACTGTTAATCGAGGAGTACTGTAGGAAACATTTCTTGAAGTCTAGAATCCACCTTCAAAGCAAAATAAATTGTGACCATCCAACTTTATCATCAATTCCCATTTTTGATTCATAAGAATTTTCGAAACTAGTTTTTGATTTCAGGCTACCCTGAAATTGAAAGTTTAAAAGTAGTCTTCTTGGTTCTTTCAAGATATGTAGAAATTTAGTCAACTGAATATATGTTCGATATAATGTTATCTACATTTCTGTAGTTCGCAAAATTTTGATAAACAAAAAAAGAAACTGAGGAAGTTGAACTCAAAGTGTATTTGATCGTTCACGGTTATTATTTATGCCTCTGGCATTCCCACCTGAATAATTTTGAGAATCGTTTCCATATAAGTTTAAAAATTCATTGTCTTTCGGCTCTTCAATAATACCAACAACAACAACAACAACGCGACCACAAAATTTCTTTTAATCCTTCCTCCATTTCAGGTCAAAAAACTAATACGACGAACGGATTGGCCAGTTTGTCACGAAATTCGTGCAAATCTCTGGAAGGAATTGTGTAACACAAAAGATTGGTCAAGCAGCAAACGTCTCTATTCTGATGAAGCAATCGAGTACGATAGAATCAACCAAGGTACTATAACCATGCCGCTTTCAAAAAATCAACCTAAAAACTTGAAGTAAAAGTAAAGTTAAAGTAAAAACCAGGCATGAGCCATCCAGCTGATCGAGAGTGCCAGTTGCAATGTTTTTCTTTGTCTTGTGGGAGGTGATGAAGAGTGTTAGAGGGGAGGAAGCAGAAAAAGGAACTAAAAGTAGAAATTTGCGCATGCCGCTGCGTTGCAAATAAACTCTCTTGATCCACGCACTGTGTATATGTGTATTTATTCCGCATGATGATGATGCGGTGTCAAGACTCATGTTGTTTACTCGACAATCAAATTTTCGAGGAAAACGGCGGGAAACTTTGTTGGGATCGAGAGATTGTGTGAGTTTTCGGTTCGAAAGCAACGCACATAATAACACAAAAACAAGAAAGGAAGTGGCTGTGTGTGACAGTCTGGCTGAAAAAACTTAACGAGTGAAATTTTTCAGGAAAAAAACAATCGCCACAAATCCTAGCAGATGAGGGTGGTGTGCTCAATAATTTCGATTTGAAGGAAGTGGGTTCAGTTAAACTTATTCGTCTTCTACTGATCATCGAGAGACTCCGTCCAGAAATTGTGTACGCACCGGTAAGTTTTATTGGAGACTGAATTTCAATAGTGCCAGTCAGTCATTTTTTTTTCAACTAAAAACGTCAATCCTCAAAAGCAGTTGTAAATTGTCATGCAGGCAGTATCAAGTGCAGTAAATCTGTTATAGAAGCGCTTCCTACCTTTAAACTTTGTGCAAATTTATCTCGGTTCCTGTCGCAGACTTGAAAAGGAGGAAACTAATGTTTGTCGTGATATCACAACTTTTTATCGGTTGGAAAATTATATATCTTGCATAGAAGCCGAGATAATTAGAACAGGATGGACAATAGAATTTCTATTACATGCTTTTCGGTAATATGAGTTTGATTGGTTTTACATTTGAATTTTGATCATATTAGCCACGTAGCGACTACATTAACTCACTTCTTATTTTCAATATCGTTCGCAATGCCAGACTTTTCCCAGACTATCTATCCCTTGTGCTCCTTACTCCTTCATTTCAACGATGATGACTCCGACTGTTTCGCCTGTATCAACTACTTGCTCAACACCAAGGTAATTTACTTCCGCCCTCTATGATTCCCAACTTTCCCGTTTCCAGGGTTTCATCATGACAGCACCAGTTCAATGGGCCGCTTCTAGTCATACTATTTTGGCACTGGTCAAAAAGCACAAAGCCGCAGCGTACGTGCTGCTGAAAAGAAGACTCGACACCACTGACGACAGTGTGCTCGTGAAATGCGTAAGTCGAGTGGTGGCATTCGGGAGGGGATCACCATAGTGAATTTCCCAAAAATTGAAAGAAAACGAATGAGGCAGGGAAGACGGCACACACAAAAATTTAATGGTCCATTCCTCCGTTTCTTTTTTTTAGATCGAGGATTGGCTGCTTTGGCTATTTCAATATCTTCCTCTTCCATACGTCTGTCGTATCATCGATTGCTATTTCGCTGAAGGACACAAGTTCCTAATTCGTTCTGCTATTTCTATCGTTTACATTTGGTCCAAAGTGCATAAGGTATAGTACATGTACATAGGTGCAAAGTAATGTTGTCAATATTTGTAGAGAGGAATGGAGGACTTCAAAGGGAAATCATTGCAAGAGAAGATCGATGCGATCAAGAAGGAGTTCCAGGATGTGGCCACAAATATTTCGGTAAGCATCCTTACTTGAAATTACCTAAGTTCTCGACTGTGGAGCTTTTGGACAGGAAAAAAGTCTATAGTATTTATTCTGCAAGGGGTTAGAAGCAGTTCATCATATAGAGAAAAGACTATAGACTTGCAAATTTCTAGTATCCAACTCGTCTGACCAGTTAAGTATCCTGAGAGTGAACTATTTTTGGAAGTTCCAAGATGAGATAAATTCCTCTAAAGACAAAAATGATGGCATTACCAAACAAACGATTCATTTCCGTAAAACTTTTTGACCTTCTTAAAACTAGCGAAATCGAATTTTGATCGCTGCTTACTCAAATGTTCTTCTGGACCAAACAAAACTATAAAATGTATCATTTGTACCGCTTTGTAAACAACTTTTTACAATACATGAGTAAGAGTTCGTTCAATGATTTCAAGCAAAAAGGAAACCGAAACATTTTTTGACGTTGCTTTGAAACAATTCAAGAAACATGATATCATATTTTCTTCAGGTACTTATTAAGACTCATTTCTGCATTTCATTCTCATAAAGATCATGTTCCAGGTGAGCACCAGCACTTTCATCGCTACTGCTGTCAAGATTCGTAACTTGCAATCTGTCACAATTGCGAAACTTCAAACGCAATTCGAAGATGAGGTAGGTAGGGAATAGAAGGATTAGGCCAATTTTACGAGTTCCGTTTTTAATAGTTTTATGACACCGTAATAGTTTTCCAGCTGCGCGAAGAAGTCACTTCTCGTCCTCGTCCGATCAAGAAAGTTCGTCGCACCATTTTCTGTGAAGCGTTCAAGTCGTGTCTTGTGGATAATGGTAAGTTTAGATACTGTAGAACTGTAGATAACTGATTTTTTCAGACACTGCCGTGGAGTTGATGTCATACATGCCTGAGAGACTTCAGCTAGTCACACCAACTTTGGCTTATCAATTGAGCCAGGATGGTACCAGTTTCTATAACTTCTGGAGCAAGTGAGCTAGTTTCACAAATAAAATAAGTAACGAAATATTTCTTTCCAGGGTTGACAAGCTTGATCAGACCATCATCATCATTATGAGCACCTCTGGTGCCATTTTCGGAGCTTACTGTAGCTCCACCTGGTCTGAGAGACATGATCGCAAGGAGAGAACTCGCTCAAAGTAAGCATCTCAAAATGGAAGTCAAATTTGAATTTCCAAATTTCAGATACTGGGGAACTGGCGAGTCATACGTGTTCCGTATGAACAAGGAGATGGAATTGCCTGAAATTTACACCTGGGTTGGAAATGCTCCAGATGTGTCCTCTTCCGAGTGCCCACAGTACTTCATGTCGGCTACTGACAAGTCATTTGTGGTGAGTGAGCAGTTAAAGGAAAAGGAGACCGTATTTTTTAGGAGTTTTCTTTTTGAGTTACGGTAGGCATACTGATGTGACCGTATACAGTGTTTAGCGAATTTTAAAGGCAAATTATTTTTTCCTCCACTTTCAAAAGAGATTTTTGACGATTTCCCAAATCCATCCCAAATCTTTTCAGATCGGCTCTGGAGGATGCGATGCAATCCGTATTGACGAGGAGCTGACCCACGGAATGACGGGACCAAGCACCACATTCAACAGCCCGCAGCTTTGCGAGGAAGGAGCATTTGATATTTATGAACTTGAAGTGTTCCATGTAACTTCAAGCGACTAAGGCCACATTGTTTATTTTCTTCTTCTACTTTCCACTCATTTGTTTACTTTTTTCTCTCACCTTTCTCTCATTCGTAGGTATAGTAAGGGGTCCCCTCTCATTTGCAATAGGATCTTCGCCCCGGTCCATCCTTGATACATGTTCAATTGTATTATTTCTCTTTTCGCCTGTATTTTTTGTCTCTCCAGCCAGCAATATAATCTTAATTAACAAACTCTCACCCTTAAAAACTTAGTAGTTCACTTTTTTCCCAAACATTTTACATTCCAACTTCTAGTCAATTCCTCGTGTCTGAGAGTTTTAGTGCTACGGCAAATTTCTATTGTCTTTTCCTTTTTTGCACAAAATTGTAATCAGAAGCTCATTCCAATCAATCGCCTCCCATGTTTGCTTTAATTATAAAAGGTCAAAATAAAAAAATTTGTGTTGTGAACTCCAACTATTTTTTCAGATTGTTCTCAGGCCAGTAAGTCATGCGCTGAATCAAAATTAGCCAACATCATTTTGCAAAAAATTGTGAAAACAAGATATTGGCTCCAATTCTATCACTATACAAAACGTGTATGAATTCTGGTACATTTTTAGTGTGGTTGATGTCATTTTATGTATCTTCTTACATACAAAAATAAAACTTAGAATGCTGACACTTCCTGAACATATAAGAGAAGTGCCATCTCTTTTTTCTTATTTTAACATCCACTGAGAAATATAGAAAATAAATCTAAATCTGCACGGAAAAACTAAAACTGAGTTTTGTTCTTTTTATTTTTCTTCTCGTGACCAAGGAAATTTTGATTCGAAGCAACGGTCTCCAGCCACTCCATGTCTCGTCCCCGTTCTTTTTCCCAATAATTTTGTCTATCTGTTCTTCCCCCAAAAAAAACTTCTCCTTTTTTTCTTTTTTGTCTTCTGACTATTTTTTTCCAACCTATCAATTTTGTACTAATAACTTTTCGTATTGTTTTCAATACTTTTTGCAGCGTGACTTGTTCTGAACTTTCTTCTGAACTTTCGAAATTTTGTTATTTTCAGATAATCCTACTAACAAAAGTGACATCATGGTCCAAGACGAGTTCTTTAAAAAACAATCAAAACATGGTAAACCTATAGTTAATGTCTAGAAAAATGTATTACCTCCAGCCGAACCAACTGGTGAGCCGCCAGCCAAAAAGTTCTGTGTTAAGCTTGGAGGACAACAGAAGTTCTCCATCGCCTTCAATGGATCTAAGAATGGTCCTTCAGCAAAGAATGGAGCTTCTGAACCATCATCTGAAGCTGAGAAGCCAAAAACTGTCAAACGAGTAGCTCCACAAGACAACCTCTCTGCTCAAGTTTATCCAAGACAATTCAGACTCTTCTGACTACGCCCACTTTTTCATGATATCATCAACAATCTTTTCGTAAGAATGAACCTTTTGGAAATTGGAAACTTTATCTATTATATTAACATTCGAATAAACAAAGTCTACTGTCTCTTCATCATGCGGAGCCTTCTCTGAAGAAGCTTTCTGCGCCACTTCCTCTCAAAGTCCTGGAAGTCGTGCATTCTGTTAGCGTAGGCGTCGGCGGCAGCAGTGTCGGTTCCAATTTCTGACTCAGCATAGTTATGAGAAGGAGTGTGGGGCTGTTTGTGGTGTGGCAAGTGGGATGGCGAGGCTCCGTCGGCGTATTCTGGAGCGTTGTGAGAGCGGCTAGCGTCAATAGATCCTCTGGAATATTCAAAATTAGTCACTGGTTTTTCAAAATTGAATAAGACGACTTACTGCTCTTCGGTGTGGTGAGATGGGCGGTGACGGTGGCTCTTACGATGTTGTTGTGGAGCTGGAGCAGATCCGTAATCAGCAGCAGCGGCGTTCGCTGAACCAGTATGTGGAAGATGAGCTGGAGCAGACCCCTCAGCAGCATACTCTGGCTGAGCAACTGGTCGTGATGCAGCTGCAGGTCTTTGCATGTTAGAGTATCCAGCAACTGGGGTGAATGGTGTTGGGAACATTTCAGTGAGAATTGGCTGAACTCCACAGTCAGATGGACAGTAGGAAGCTGGCATTCCTGGGTCTCCTGGTGGTCCTGGTGGTCCTTCCATACCGTATCCTCCCATCTTTCCGGTCTTTCCAATTCCTCCAATCTCTCCTGGCTGTCCTGGTTGTCCTGGTTGGTTGGATCCCTTTCCGCCTGGCCCTGGTGGCCCCTTCATTCCTTGTGGTCCTGGTGGCCCTGGTGGTCCCTTGATTCCAACTCCAGCAATCACAGTGTCTCCAGGTGCTCCATATGGTCCTAATGGTCCTCGTTCTCCCTTTGGTCCTGGTGGTCCCGGCAATCCCGGGCCTCCATCGACACCTTCCATTCCGATGGTTCCTTGCATACCATTCATTCCTGGATTTCCAGTCATTCCTCTCTCTCCTTGAGCACCACGTGGTCCTGGTGGCCCGGCTGGGCAGATAACACATGGAAGCTCTGGCTCAGATTCAGGTTGAATATCGAAACCATCATCTCCAGAACGTCCTTGTCTTCCAGCATCTCCTGGTTGTCCATCTGGTCCTGGAGCTCCTGGTGGTCCTGGTGGTCCTTGTGGGCAGGAGAGCATGAAGCATCCTTTACAGAACGCTCCGCCCATCCAGTTACTTCTTGGTTTACGCGAGAAGAACTGAATTCCGGGTGCTGAGCCACCTTGTCTAATCTCCATCAATTCATTCCAAATCATATCAGACTTTGCCTGGAAAAAGAAGTAATTAGAAGTATTTAAAGTGAAATGCGTGTTACCTTGATTCCATCAGACTGCATTGAAATTTCCTGCAGTACATTATCTGATTTATGGAAGAGCATTGGTACCGAGAAAACAGCAAGGACTAGTGCAAACGTCGAAACGATGATCGACGCCACAGCAGCGTCATAGAAGTTATTCCGCATTGTTGGAAAATGGGTGTAAAAATGGAAAAGTCTTGAGAAGTTGCATTCCATCCAGCTACTTATAAGCTTCTTCCGCGAATATAGGTCACTGGGTAAAAACTCGATAAGGCGCCCGGATTAGGCTTCTCTTTCGTTTTTGAGGTCATTTCATCATGAACGATTTCTCCCGATCACTTTCGGTTTTTCCCGTTATCTCGCAAGTTTGACCGCGCGAAAATGAGACAACTACACCCAGCATTATTTTCCGTTTCGTTTTTTTCTGCGTGAGAGAAAGACACTATGATAACACACTTTTTCTTCTTCGCATGTTCTTTTCGGTGATTCAATTATTTATTTCCGAGTGAAACAATCAGCAGATCATGGAGAGAGGGGGAGACGGTTGAAACGGAAATTGAGAATTTGGTCGTGATGGGAACACAAAAGCAATACTGGGAGGAGAGATGATTTGAAACACTCTGTTTTTTTTTGTAATGGAAGATGAGGAAAATTGTCAAGAGAAATTTCTGGGAAAATTTGGTAAATTGAGAACAAGATTTTTTAAAAATTTCTTTAAGGACAAATATATTTTTTGGTTCAAAAAACGGGAGATCGGAATTTTGATTGAAGAACAAAAGCGTGGGGGTTACTTCCAGTTTTTTTGAAATTTAACAACTTTTTTTTGGGTTTAGATTAATAATTTGGGTTTAGATTAATAAACAGTTGCTGGAAAAAGTAAGATGTGAGGATCGGGAGAAATTAGTGACAGGAAAAAAGTGGTTCAGGGGGGTTTCGAAAGTTCGTAAAAGTTAAAGGGGAGATGAGATTCAATGGCTGCGGCAAACCCAATGCTATAAACTAATTTTTGAAAACGTTTGGGTTTACTATTAAAACATGTACTGATGGATGAAACACTTGAAAATGTAGATGGTACGGTTCGATGGATAATATAGAAGTGAAAAAACAGATGGTAAGAATTTGTTATTCACTTCTTGTTCTTCTTCTTATCCTTGACGTCATCGGTGGCGTTGTCGTCAGACTGGGAGTATATGAGAGACTGAAATATCTTATGTTAATTCTTTTCGAAAAAGATTAGCAATGAAGCGAGAGGAGAAAAAAAAGAAAAAAAAATATTCTACGTCAGCCGCTCACCTTTCCGAGCCCCTCAAAACTGAGACAAAGATCTGCTACCCCGGTGTCTTGATCGTTTCCCATGTCTGAGTCCATGCTTGGCATTTTGATGATGTTGTCTTCTTGGAAAGTGCGGAGAAGCCGTTTATCGTTGGTTTTGAATTCAACGCAAGAGCGAGTTTTTCCGACATCTCCGAGTTTCATATGCTTCTTTACAGTTGGACGCTCACCAATGGTATCGAACATTGCTAAAAAATGCGTTGGAGTTGGGAAAACATAATTTATAAAAACTACTGAGAAACGGTCTGAACTCTACTATCAAGTCTCACTTACCATTTTCAGGGATTGATGAGACCGATGATTGACTTTGTGGACTAGAACCATTGCTACCCTTCTTTTTGCTGACTAAGCCATTGAATTTCTTGCGGAGATCGAACTCACTTGCCGATTTTGGCATGCCTGAAACCGAAAAAATAAATTGAAGAAGGAGAAGAAGCTCTACAATACGAAAGGGGCGTCAAATTGACATGTGTCTGAAACGCGAAGAAATTTTTTTCGCGGATTCCCTTGACATTTTTCTTTGACTCTAGTAATGAAAAATAATCGCTCAATAACATGTGAGGGTGGAATACTCCTCTTGCTCATAATGAAGGTTTCCGCCTCGATTTCATTCTCATGGTGATGCCTCATATAGTGTTTTTAATAACGGAAATGAAACAGGAAATTGAGTTTTACGATAGAGAGAAAGACAACCGAATAAACAAAAAACAGCAGGTTTGACTCTTATTTAAAGGTGCCAACATTGTTTTTTTGAAATGATGTTTGAATAATGTGAAAGAGGTATTATCAGTCAGAATTGAAAAACAAAAAAGTTTTTGTGAAGGAGAAGAAGAAGCTAGGCTCACAATACTCGAAACCGGTAATTAGTATATGCATCGCGATATTTCACGCGTGACATTTCGAGTATTCGAATAACATAAATAAATTGGAAAACCTACACAGCCCCCACCTCCATTGTAGGTCGAACCGATGAGTACTTTACGGCTTTTCTCATTGAATCCACGGTGTGGAGCGATCGGACCCGGATGCAGCTCTGATTCCATTTTATCCTTTTGTCTGAATAATTCTAGCACATAAACGCAATTCGGGGAGCACGGGATGATTTTTTGCGGCTTTTCCAATGCAGAGATAGCTGAAATAAAACTTGTTATATCACACGCAATATATTTTTTCAAAAACTGCTGAAAACGGGAGGAGATGTTGAAATGAACGAAGACCTATATGTCCTATATGTGTACTTCAACAAAAGATCAGAATTATAATACATATGCTATAAGATAATCATTAAAACAATATTTGGAATTATCAAAGGTTGAAAAAAGGACATTTAAAATTATATTTCAAAACACAAAAAATCTGTCAATTACCGTAATTTTTAAAAAATGTGAAAGGAGAGCTCAACATACTACTTCCTCCTTTACTAGTATGAAAAACATTTTCCAAACTTAAAAATTAGGTAAACCGAACTCGAAGGAAAGTTTTGAATGCCTCGTAATAACCAGTTTCTTCTTCATATTTATACGACATTCTTCGCTCGTCAGAGACTTCTTCTCGTGTGTTGGCTCATGAGGATTATGATTTTTGACAATAGCTTGTTATCAATTTTATTAGTCCTATCTCCAGACAACAATGCATTGCTCATTGCTCAGATTTAGGCACGACAAAAGAAATTCAGATAAATATTGCGAAAAGTGAGATTCAAGAAAAATAGCATTTCCTGAAATATCTTGTGTATGTATACTAAACTTATATACTCTAAACCTAGCGCACCATGCTCCACAGAATTGAAAATATCATATGATGTTATGAGTAATGCTTGAGTTACTCATGAGGGCTTGGTGGGCGTAAATTAGTGTGGTTGAAGAAATCCAAGCAGCAAACAAGTACTAATTGTTTCGTTATGCCTTGAGAGTAGTAAAAATAAAAATAAATTCAAAAATTCAAATGAAATATGTTACTGTATTTTTAAAAAAGCAAAAGACTGCGAGGGAAAATCTTTGTTCCTCAAAACTTTTGTCGCGAAATCTCATTTTAAAAAAATTTGAAAACAAAATTAACAAAACTTACCGGTTATTTCTCGTACAAAAAATCGAGGATGTGGAAGAGAAGCGCCGGTGGCCGTGTCGGGAATTCCTACAACGACAACTAACTTTTGATACTGTATCCACAATATATTTTTTATGATTGAAATTTTAATTTTAATCAATTTTTCTGAACTGAACTCAATGAAAGAAAAAATCCTCATTCGGTAACTATTTAAAATTTCTAGAAATACATTTTAGTTAACTCACCGTTGACACGGATCGATCTGAGACTAGGATACTTTCGCCTGAACCAGTTCCAGCTTCTGCTCCAAACGTTTATGCCGCACATCTGAAATATTGTGTTTTGACAAATTTAGCAAGTCATGCAGAAAGAGTAATCGAAGAAGTTCTGAGAATAAACGTTGGCATATACACACGTTGACTTTCCCACGAAACCTCCGTTAGTTGTTTTTCACTACAACCTGTTAGATAAAAGATTATGATTTCCGTGGGAACATTTCTAGAATGGAAGCTTCTGGAAACTTGTAGCATTCATGTTGCTTAGAAGGCAATTGAGTGGGCGAACGGATCATGAATAAACTGGAATGAGTCATGTAACTGTTTGATTGGATTGGTTCAAGTGGGAGTTACAGATCAGTAAAAATTGTGAAAGAGAATTTGATAAAAAGAAAACTGACTAAGAACGATGGAGAAAAAGTTGGAATGAACATCCCCTGAAAAAAGACACGGTATTATAAAAAAAAATAAGAAAAAATAAGAAATAATCAAATTTTCTAAATTTTAGTTTCTGTATTTTTTTTCGATTTTCCTGTTGATTTCCCAATACTATTCGTGAGAAGTCATTGTGAAAAAATCGTCGTAAAACAGACCAAACTTAAAAAAAATGTTTCAGGTTACGGTAGCTGTCGTCACGACACTTGGGGCCACGACTTTACCGTTGTCTTGTACAATGTCTATATTCTCCGACCGAGATGGAGAAAAAGTACAGTAACATCCTTCAAAATTTTCTGAATGAAAGTAACACGAGCACCAGCTAATCCGAAACTTTTTGAACATTTATTCTCAGTTCACATCATCGAGTTATGGGTTAATAGAATTAGAAACGGTGAACAGATAAAATTATCTACTCCACCAAACATTCTCCGAATTTCACACTTTTATGGATACACATCTCGTCTGACCTTCAATATTGTCTGGCTCGCTTCAATTGTTTTACAATTGTGTTCAGATTATTGAACACTTTTTTTGCAAATTTGGAAGCTACAGTAATCCAATGGTTTCTAAAGGTTACATATATTCTAAGGCTCGTAAACTCAATAGTTTCTGAACTAGATACAACCAGGGCACATTGAATATCTGAAAGTATTGGTGGTATGGAGTCATCAAATATTTATTCAAAAAAAAACTGTATTCTATTAAAAAAATACCAACTGTTTGAGAAAAAGGCTTTTCATCTAAACTTTCACATTCTTATTCGAATCTTAAAGATGGACTTCTGAGGTGCAATGTTTGTTAATTCCCATTAATCACCATGCTCTTTGAAAATCAACCTCCTAAAAGCTAGAAGATTACTGGTTCTTACATTTCATCAACATTTCCAAGGATTACTATAAAAAGTAATCAACTTTTTCAGAAAATTGTGCTTTGATTTAACAATGTATAAGCTCTGGTAGCCCATAAATTAATATTTCAAGATTCATGACTTTTCAAGGAACACTTTACCGCAACAACAAATATTTTTCGGGTTACTGTAAATTTTAATTCAAAAATAGAAGAAAAAAGATAATATATTAGGTTGGCGGGAAAGTCTTTGTCACTCTGTTTGTTTAATCACTGTTCTCGTATATGGAGGCTGTGTATGATATCGACTCTAGTGATAACAAGGTGATAAGAACCTTCCATATAAACAAGTCCCCATTTCCTTCCCTGCTCCTCATCTGTAATTGAAACGATATGTTTGTTCCCACTGCTATTCACATCAGACATGTTTTGATTTACCTCTTCCTATCTCACACCACGATGAAGGATTCGGAAACTTTCTTGAAGAATGTGTACAACACACATGCCCCTCACTACAATACTATTCGCAATTGGTTCCATCGTTTCGAAAAAGATGACTTCTCGCTCGATGAAAAGGATCGCTCTGGGAGACCCCGTGAGTTGGATTTGGACAAGCTGAAGCACGCATTGCAATCGGATCCATTTCAATCTAGCCGTGAACTAGCTGTCACATTCGGAGTTCACCATAGCACAGTCCTTGAAGGTTTGAAGTCTCTTGGAATGAGAAAACTTTTTGGTCGATTCATACGTCATCACCTGACTCAAGCCAACCTTGACCGCCGAGTCGACGATTCGATTACTCTTCTCACTCTCCACGCGGGCGATCGATGGCTGGACCGGCTAATAACCGGAGATGAGAAGTGGGTCTTCTACGATAATCACCACAGGAAATCCCAGTGGGTTGGAGAAGGAGAGAGCCCACAGGATGTCCCCAAACCCGACCTTCATCCGAAAAAAGTTATGCTCTCTGTGTGGTGGGGAGTGGACGGCCCCATCTACTGGGAACTTCTGCCCGAGGGCAAAACAATAACTGGAGACCTCTACACTACTCAACTACGAAACCTCAAGAAAGCAGTCGACCGTTCGGCCCTGAAAGACAAGAAAGTGTACTATCAACATGATAACGCTCGCCCACATGTTTCGAAACAAGTGAAGCAGGAGCTGATGGGATATGGATGGAATGTTCTCCCTCACCCCCCGTATTCTCCTTATCTTGCTCCTTCCGACTATTGGTTATTTGGCGATATGACACGTGCCTTCGAAGGAAGAAGCTTCAATTCCCGTGGAGCGGTCGAAGCGGCACTCAAACAATACTTTGCCTCACGCCCGGCTGGATTCTACCGCAATGGAATCCATAAATTGAGGGAACGTTGGAGACATGTTGTTGATAATGATGGACAATATAATTAATTATTCGGTTATTTTTTCTTTGAGAAATAAACTATTGAAAAAGTGACAAAGACTTTCCCGCCAACCTAATAAAAGAAAATTCGAAGAACACTTGGCCGCAACAAAATTATCATCGACCGGGTTACTGTAACTCTATTTTCAAAACTGAAGGAAGAAAAACAATAAAGTGCTGTTTTTTGTTGAAAAAATCCACGACCAAAAAAAAAAAACAATTTCCGGCACGAGTTGCGAATTTTTTTCGAGACTGGAATCGGAATAATATCACTTTTGTTTCGAATTGAAATTTTGTGAGTAACACACCCTCAACACCGGAAATTGAGCATGGATCTCCGAGAGTTTTCACAAACTGCTTGTTCCTAGTTTTTTCTCGAATTCCGGGATAGTTTCGGATTCAAAAACAAATGATATGAATCTTGGTAAAATAAATGACGATACTGGAATATCGGAGGAGCCTGGCACCTGGCTGTGACAGTTGACTGAACTTCTTCTGACTTTCATTTGATTTGATGAACTTAAAACTAGAGGTTTCCCACACATTGAGTTATATTTAGCACTTTTTTGAAAAAGAAAATTTTCAGATGAATAATACTTACTGAAACCCACGAGATTTGTAGGAACAACAGTTGCTCAAGACAAAAATAGACTTACGAATGGCACCTACGTGTGACATCAGAAGCCGTGAGAAAACGGTAGTTAGGGCATCGACTAGAATGGGATAATAGGTTAAGTGATCGGGAAGTTGTGAAAGGTAGTGTGATATTAAATTCAAGAGATTCCTATGAATTGCAGATACTATCTGAGATACACGGTGGCCTAAAACTGTGAATATGAAAATTTACAGTGCCTTGTAAATATATAGTCGATTACGATTCTCTGATTCGCAACCATAAAACCACTTCATAATATTCACATTTACTTTTATGATCCTCATTATCATGATATACCGTGATCCTCATTCAGTGACTATGTATCTTATTATCATCGTTCAGCTGTAAGATGTCAATCAAGTCTGCCAGAAGGCTTTCTATTATTAAATTGTCGATATTCCAATAATTAGCAAATTTGCGATATTATCAAATTACAGTAGGCCGGTGCCAGCTTGATAGGGAAAAATGAGGTTAGTACCACAAAAACCAGGTCTTACCAAAGCTGAGAAAAGAAGGATAACATGTCTCAAAAACTATTTTCGAAATCTCACGAAAAGCATACCGTAGGACGTTTGGTTGAATGGTTCTGACTTTTTCAAGTTTTGTTTCATTTGTTATCCTTTTTTATAGTGATGAGGTGACTAACTTTTATCTGATTTTATTTTTAGAGGGAGCTGTTCATTTTTGTCAATATTATAGAAAATGAAGAGATGTTTTCAAACTTTGGAGAAATTAGAAATCAGAAGATCATTCAAATGCCAGAATTTTCGTAATTTAAACCGACAGGAACTCAAGAGAAACAGAATTTTAAAAAACAGCAAAATATCCCCTCCTGGCCTAAAAATGACTACGGTAACAGAACGAATTTGTGATAATCCAATAAACTGCGGAATAGTTTTTTTTTCACTCAGATAAGAAAAACACACCAATAAAAGAGCTTATGCGAACTTTATTCTTTCTAATCTGCTGCTGATGGTATATCCCACACATAGAAATTTATTAGAAGATTATTCTTATGGTTTTGAGTTTTTGAACTGTTGATAACTAAGGATGATTTTGAGACAACGTTTATGAGCAAATGAACGAAATGATTTTGATAACACGCGTTCATTCCGGGTATCTTAACTAATACCCATAATTACACATTAAAATTGTTCAGAAAAGGGTTCCTCGCTTCTCTTGTTCACGTTCTACTGCATCGAACAACGCCTTGAAGTTTCCGGCACCAAATCCCTAAAAGAAACAATAGGTATAAAGGAAATCAGTAGAGCTAACTCACCTTGAAGTTGGCTCTTTGGATTATCTCTATGAATAGGGTAGGCCGATCTTGCATAGGCTTACTAAAGATTTGGAGGAGATACCCGTTCTCATCAAAGTCCATCAGGATGTTGAGCTTGCGGATCTGGAAGGGGATAAGAGTTTTAGACAGGGACTCAGAACATGGATATTAAAGATTTTCAATAGAATTATTTCAATTTTTTTTGGTATAAAGACAGGAAGGCCCCCTTCTAAATGCGTTTTTTGATATTAAGCGTTTCCGTACGATTTCAGTGAAATCATTTCGGAAATTATACTGTTTCACATAAATAAGGGTTTTTTCAAAAGCTTAATCAATTTCGGTACAATTGATAGATTTCAATGAATTTCGGACCAGAACTCACCGATTTTTTCAGTGACTAATTTCAAGAAAAAAGCCGGAAAAATTAAAAAGCATCCTCTTAATGAAGAGGTCTTGCAATCGAAGGTCTGGCCCTTTTAATACAGGTTCTACGGTACCTACCATTTTCAAATCCTCCTTTACATTCAAATTTGTCCTGCTCAGCCTCTCTTCTAGAATATTGTAGTATTCACCAGGGATCGTGAGAAACTCCACACTTCTGAAACTGACAACATTATAAAGAACGCTCACGTACACGCTTCACCTTGTCTTCATTAGTTGAACCGCTGAAATGATGTCATCAACAAGAAGGGCAAAGTGTTGAACGCCAGAACCGCCATGAAAACTGATAAACTCCTGAAAAAAGTCATTTGCAGATTCGAAACATATTAAAAATGTATCTACCTCAATCTGACTTTTCCCTTTTCTCCCTTTCACTCCTTCGGCGAGCGTCATTTGTACCGTATGATCCTCATTAACCAAGAGCCACGCACTCATCGCAGAGAATTCCGAAGTGGCGACTTTATCATCCACTGACCAGAACCTTTTCAAGTTCATCGTCTTATAATACCAGTCAGCCGCTGCCTCCATCTCTCCAATTGGATAGTTCTGGACTACGTGGTCCATTAGAATTGCTGGCATCCTTTCTCTGAAACCAATCTGTTTTTCATCCCGACTATTTGTTTTCTTTCTAAGTTACATTCTGTCGAACAACTCAAAATTAGCTGTCGGCGTGAAATAAGGAAGAAAGTTTCCGGTGAATGATCCCAACTCATAAAGTGTGTGCGTCACATCACTTCCCTACAATGAAATAATTTTTCTATATTTTTTCGAAACGCGTGTATTTCGTTACATCAGCAAGTAGTGTGGCCGTTCGAACTAATCCCTCCTTTGTCTTGATTTCTCCCTGTTGAATAACTTTGATGTCATTTTCCATCAAGTTCTGAAATAGAAAACATTGGATTTCGAGTGAAATAATAGTGATGAACTTATGTATTGTCACCTGCAAATTTAAAGACAGATGTTTTATTTGAGAAACAGTCATGCACTGAAAGTTCACTGCTAACTGGATAATTGGATTTTCCAGCGTCAGTCCAAAAAAAGTAACATTTCAGGTGTACGCAGCGAAATTCTATTAATCAGGTAACACAGCTGAGCATAAAAGTGACTAAATCCCTTTGAAAAACAATTGAAGAATTACTGTACTTACAGGATCTGGACATTTGAGTTACGCAGCTTTTCAAAAAAATGCTACGAAAATTCCTAGCTCTGGAAAAACTTTTTAAAAAATTTCCACCAAAATGTTTTCAGTAATCCAATCAAGAATCTTAAATTCAGGGTTTAGTTACTGATTTTTCGACTAATTTGAAATGACTTCACTTCCTGCAAAATTTTTGCAAGAACGTCCTTTTCGTAATCTCACCGAAATCATAGTATGTGGGTTGGATTGCCTGAATTCTTCCTTATAAGGAATTTTTTAAACCAATTCTTCGGTGTTCCCAAACTGTGTTTTGCTCTTTTTTCTTCATTTTCTTCTCAAAATTTCTTAATTTCAGACATATTAGAAAGAAAAAATTCTCAGACATATTAGCGTGGGATTCCAGGTGGATTCCATTATTACCCCCAGCTTAATCAATTGTTGAAAGCAACAGAACGGAATCATAACGAAAATAACGACTTAATCATATGTATTTAATTTTTTCTGTTGTGATTTAGCACATCCAATAAATATAAGAAATCACCTGTAAAACGCCATCTAGGAAGTCAACACGGAATGCGACGTCTTTGATGAAATCCCCATGTTTGATAAGCTGTTCCGTGTAGACGTTAGCACAATTGTACGACGTAATGATAACGCGAGCCTGAAAGGAACGCTTTTCTTTTTTTGCCTATGGTAACTGAAAAGACTCCCGAAACAAATAAAGGGGGATAAAGGAAAAAAATTTAGACTCGGTAATAAGATTAGGGTTGGATGAGGCCAACACGGGTGTGGGCGACCAATAATAAGTTAGCCTTTCAGCCTGATTCATTCTTTCACCCTCAATTTCATTAACACCCCAAAAACTGACTAACCGTTCCATTTTTCAATGCGTAACTTGTCGAGACTTCCGTGTTCCTTTCTGCAAACTTTTGGAATCCAAAACTGCTGCAATACCAATAAGCGGACTGTAGCGCGTTGGAGACAATAAACTCTATATGGTGAATTGCAGAAATAGAACCCATCTGAAAGGTTGTAGAATGTAACGTAGAGGAGAAGAATGCTAGATGATGAAAAAGACAGGAATAGAAAAAAATGGGGCTACGCTAATTGAGCTGCAGAGGCAAATCTTATCTTCAGTTTTATGGCTCTGGTTTTGGGGGTCGTTTGATGCGATTGATAAGATAAGAAGAGTTTTCGGGAACTTGGGTTATTTTTGTAGGTTCAAGAACTTCAAAAATTGGAAAATGCAATATTATAAAAATTGGAGTTTATTTATATTATGATGCAAAATTCCATTCAAATTCTCTTGTTTCCACTTCCCTGATAACTTTTTAAGGAACATTTTTTTCCATTTTCCATTAAAAAATTATTAATTATCCCGGAACTTCGAAAAAATTCTCACAGGATATTTTTTTGAACTGCGTTCTTCCTACCATCAATAATTTATTCCAAAGGTCCTTGAGAATTCTTTTGATCAAAAAATATCCCTCACTCGTAATTTTCATAAATGTCACTGCATAAAAAAAAGTCATAAAAAGCTTTTCTGAAGATTTTCGTTAAATATTCTGGAATGCTAAATTAAACAGGGTAGAAATACGTCATACAATAAGACATTAATTTGTTCCGATGCAAAAGACAAAAAGAAAACAAAAAAGACACAATCAAAATAATCACTAAAGAAGAGAAACTTTGCGGCGAAACAGTTTTAATTTGCGGGCAATTCCCGTCTTATCAGATTGTGATGGTCTGCAGTATGTGTGGAGAATGATACAACGCTATAAAGAACACCCAGCGTCTTTTTTCCCTTCGAGAACCTGAATTGAGAAAATCACAAATTTTTACAACTTTATTTCATGTGAATTTCCACCACAAACAGTGATCAAACGAAAAAGTTCTGGGATTAAAAATGCTTGGTCCTTGAAGAAATACTAGTGGTCTATGAGAGTTCTAGTATCATGAAAGTTTGACCTATATACCGTTTCATCATCTGAATAATCATTTTTCTTTCAAATTATTATTTTTTCTGCCTGAAAATTGATGTGGAATTGCTTATCACTTCCCCCTCAAAACTTCCAAAAAAAAATGCGTTGCAACATCGTACGATCCCAAAATCACATTTTGAACTCTTTGTTTTTAATTTGAGGCTTCAATTTCAATGATTTCGAGAAGCCCGTCCAGGATTAAAATCCTACGCAAAAACATCGAGCACTTCCAGTTTTAGCTCGTCTACTACGCAGCGTCAGGCTTAGGCCGAAGTACATAAACGCTAACGGATCTTGTTTTGAGTGGGCTTCAACGTGTCAACATTCACATAAAAACGGCTGGTTTGCTTAGACGATGTCCCATTTTGTTTTGTTATTTTTCTGGTTGTACGTTGTTTCAAAAAACGTGGATTTGAGGAAGGATGTCTATACAAGCTTCCGACATAATTGTGTTTTGGTTGTTTTTTCTTCATTTATCCGAGACACTGGAATCCAAAGTTTTCAGCTCAGACATAATAACCCTATCTGGCATTCCTCTAGAATCAAATCCAGAGATTTTTGTATTTCTGGAAGAGGTAAATAATTTTATTGGTTTTGGCAGCCTACGTAAGCTTATTTTTCTTCTCGAATGCGCATATTAGAAAATAGCTTATTCTTCATCAGAGTTTATCTACTCAAAAAACACCCAAGTCATTTGAAAAGGGTGTTTCTAGATGAGCGAACTCATTGATGTTCTTAGAAGATGCAAAGTTCAGAGTTTTCTGCTCTCTCTAGTTTTTCCCTTTTAAAATTATTTTTAGAAGGCCTTGGAAAACTTTCTGAACCTTGGAATTCTAAGAAGAAACGTCTGAATTTCAGGTCATAGATTACAGGACATGTTACATGTACATAAATAACCTCCGTGTCTTACTAGTACCCCACAGAGCCACCCCAATTATATTAATTTGATTCTCCTTCACTCAGCACTTCCTTCTCTGGAATTGAGTGTGAAATCAAACGTAGGCTTCCTTTTGAAAACTATTTTTACTTTCTCACTCCTTTCCCTCTTTTTTTCACCCAGCACCAACAACTTGCCAAGTCTCCGACATCATGCAGTTTTGTAGTGTTTCTTCCCGATTTCGCAGAATTCAATCACACAACCGAACAGGTGAAAGTGCTGAAAACGAGAAGCTGTTTCAAATATAGATGCTGTCAAGATTTTCACGTCCAACCCCAAACTCCCACCTTTTTCTTTAACCCCACCCCTTTTCTTTCTCATTTTGGCTCCACCCTTCAGGTATATAAAGCGGCACTGATAAGAAATAGGATCAACTCGCGTCCCTGACACTTTTTGTGTTCAGATTCAGTTCATTGTGTCTGACATTCATTAGGTAGCCATGGATTGAATAGAGTTGAATTGTGAGCCAAGTTACCTATTGCCATTTTATAATAGGGTTCTGCTATTCATCCTTATGTTGTGTAGTGTTCTGGGTGTGAAGAAGGAACAGACCCCACCAAGATATTCAGAATCTAGACGTTGTACTCTCCAGAATGTTAAAGTGTTATTGTAAAAGCAATAAAGAATAGGGGAAGAGGGTGCTCTGAATGTTAGATTCAGAATTAAAGGAAATCTGATACTTTGTCTGTATTTTTTGCTCTCAGCCAAACCTTCTAGGGCTAGCTCCTATTGTTATAATTCAATTCACACCCTACGATTTTACTGAATTCAAAATGAGCCCGTTCTTTTTGTTAGAGAATTCAATCTAAATATTTTGCTCGCATGATGAAAATATAAGATTTCTTAAAATTGTTTTCAGCTCACAAATTTTGACGCCAAACCTGTCATTGGAAATACCAAAATTTTAGATTTGTTTTCCATTTCTCTGTATTTTGCTAAATTACACGATACTAAGACATTTCGAAATACTAATTGCTTATTTTCACCGGTATTGACGTCTCCATAGTTTCTGCTTTGATTCGAGACTCCGCCTCTTTTTTCTAATTTTCTTCCCGTTTCAGTTTTCTCGGATATTCAGGCAAATTTCAGATGTCGCCCAACATGTCAGTACTTGTGCTCATTATGATCTTTGCCGTTGCTCAAGCAGCGTTGTTCATCGATGGCGACAATAAAATTGTCGCCAGGACCAACGATCAGTTCGGACCATATGTCTCCGAGTGAGTTAAACATTCATCTGCAGATTTCATCAGATTTCGAAATCCTTCTGACGTTTCCGCAAGACTTTTGGAATTTCTACTTCATGCCCTAATCTCCACATTTCCAGACTCGACAAGCTGAAGAGATCTTTCGGGCGCAACTGTATGTTCACCATCTCGGGTTGCTTCACGTCTTCACAGGCGGAACGCTATCGCAAATACATGGAAAATGTCAATTTCATTCCAAAGTAAATACCATCCTGTCTATGAACCAACAAAAACAAACCCTCCATCCCGATTGCAAAACAATGATCTCTCACAAATTAATTTATTTCTCTTTTTCTCATACTAAATAAGAATTTTCGTGTATCCTGCTAGCCTCTAGTATTGTACATCAATTCTTTCGAGACGTTCTCTCTTAGCCCCCCCCCCTCCCTCCCCCACACAATCTCTTTTTCTTCTCATTCCCATTGTTCAAGACTCTTGAAAACAACAAAATGAACTGATCACTCCTGTTAATCGAACAAATGTTGTTTTTATATCAGCCTCGAACACAATAGTTCTTGATGTGCAAGATATCACACGATTTTAAACATCAAAACAATAGATAATCTGCGCTTTACCTTGTTATGGGACTTGATGATCAGACCAGACCTGCTATGGAGCACCAATTATTTGTAAGAAGATTTCGCGTCACAAAAACACAAAAAATACTAACATCATAACTGAAAAAATCTGGTCTTGAATTAAAAATCATATGGTAACCCTGCAAATTAATTGAGCCTGATTTCATACGACCACGCGATTGGTGTTACAAATCATTTTGGGTCAAATGTTTGAATAATTTCGGTGATGTTGCACATTCAAAATATAGGCTCACAAAGAACTACTTTTTTAGGTTGGTGTGGCAGCTTCCAGTCAGAATTTGTTTAGAATTCAGTTAAGACCGCTACTAAAGCCTAAAAACTTTGAAAAATTTCTTACAAGGTCCAGACCTAGTAGTATTTCAACTTTCTGGTTGCGAACATAACTTATCCGTCCAAAAGCCCAACCCCGCTCAACTTATGACCAGAAGTTACAAGCCGACAGTCGAGTATACAGATGCTGTCAATACAAACCTACTAGATGTTCCTGCAAACCTAATGCTAACGTGATGCGTTTCAGATGCACCTCATTTTTTGATTGATTAGTATTTTATATCAAACTATTGTCAATATATAGGGACAGTTTTCTCGGAACAACTTTATCTTTTTTATCTTTATTTATTTATTTCAACGAAGGGGAGAAAACCACTAACACGTGAAATGTCTATGAAACTAGGAGATATAACAGGGACATACATTTGTAGTAATTGGGAGATGAAGGATAAACCGAGTTAGTAATTAGTTGAATTCAAAGTAATTAGTTGAATTCAAAGTAATTAGTTGAATTCAAAGTAATTAGTTGAATTCAAAGTAATTAGTTGAATTCAAAGTGATTAGTTGAATTCAAATGTCTACTAAAACTATGTTTCTCTAATTTTCCCGTAGAAAATACATTGTTCTTATACGAACTTCATCGAGACGATGTCGAATTCCAAAATTACTCAAAACAGTACTATTTTGTTAGCAGGTTTTTGTGCTGCACGGCAGCACCTATTAATCGCTTCACGCGAAATAAAATTTTTTGAACGGCTTTAATGAAAATAAGTTTGGAATGTTACTCTTCTCTGTTTGGCGTAAACGTTCGTTTAACTTCGAATCGAAAACAGATTATCCCATAAACTAAGAACAAGTGAAAAAGTGAAGAAGAATGGAGTTTTCGAGGAAAGAAAAAACATACGAATAGTGCAAAAAACAACATGCATTTATGATGACCATAAAAAAGTCTCATGAGGTGGTATTTACAACGGAAATTACTTGTTATGAAATGTACATTCTACTGATCATTGCAGAATTTGGGAGATACAGTGGCGAACATTAGTGAGTCACTCTATACTTTTGTTCATAACTTCGCTCAAACTTGTCCAATAATTTCACTCTTTTTCGTTAAATGTAGCTGAATTTCCAAATAAAAGTTACATGAAATTTTGGAACTCAATCAATTTCTATGTTTTCAGAATCTTCACAGACGTGACGATGACTCCAGAAAAAGAAAAATGTTCCGTCACAATCTTTCTAAAGATTTTCTTTGTAATGAAAAATGTTTGGTGTTGATCAAATAGCTACAAAAAAAATTTGAAGCGGTTTGGAACACTTGCTCTTGAGATGTGCTCACTGGAGCATAAAAGGTATGGTTTAGGAGTTTGGCTATAACTCGGCTCAAAATAATCCAAATTTGGTCAAATTTTGAGAGAACTTGTGTTTTCAATTGCTTCACAAGAAACATACAAAACTTTGTATTTTGGGAAAAAATTTTTATAATTTTTCCTTGAGGTCATGAAAAAACATTGAAAAAATTTCTGTTTCTTATTCCTAGCAGGTCAATTACGCTTCTGGCGGGTCAATGTATTACAAAATTCATAAAAAAAAATAAGAAAAAAATGAAAATTGAAATATAAAAAACAAAACAAAAAACAAAAAATCAGTGACAAAAATTATGAAAAATTGACGATTTTATTTATTCGAAAAAGTTTCGATGATGTCAATAATAATTTTGAAATACCAAGTTTGTTAGTTTTCCAATCGAAAGAGAAACTGTTTCAAATCTTGATTGCATTTTTCATCCGTGAAGTATTTGGAATGTTCAAAATGTCTGCAACCATCGGAAGCAACGATGCCCGGACAGTCAACGAAAATTTTTTTCGATATCCGCTGAAAAATTTTAGTCCGTCGTTTGCGAGGAACATGGAAACTGAAATTTTCTTTTGTTAATTTCATTTGTGTTTTTTTTTCTGGAAAATACTCCTTGATTTTGAAATTTTGTCCGTTTTCCGTTGCCACTTTTAGCTGTTCGTGTCTCGATGTCCGTTGTCTTTGTAATTTTTTTGATTTCATCGCGTTAAAAAAATTTTCATAGGATTCCAGCACAAACAAAATATAAAAAAAAACTAAATAATTAAGATTGTTTGGGTAACCTTGTGTTTTTTTTATTTGAGAATTTGTTTCGCCTGTTTATTGAAAAAGTATGGAAAAATCTATACTCAATCACCTGAAACTAATCATTCACTCTTCATTTATCATCACTCCCCTCCCTGCACTTTATTATGTTCCAATTTCATTCTCAATTTTATGTTCTTCAGTCTTTCATGAAACAATGGAAAAATACACTATATTTGCACAGCGAAAATATTATTCATCATCCTTTTTTGTTGAGGTGTCCGTTTTCCGCCAGCATATAGCAAAACTTTTTCCAAGTGGGAACCACTTACATATGATAAATACTTCTCTTCCTTTTTCTGTCTTTTCTTATTTCGTTTTTTGTCTTCACTAGGTCAGCATGTATGTATGTGCCCCCGAACATATTGTCTCCTCCACGTATGCCTCTTTTCTTCTTCCTCGATGCGCGTTACGCGTCAACATCGAGAAATGTGCCAGTGGAAAATCAATAGCGCATTGCGAGTGCGCACTAATTTGCATATTAAATTTACTACAAACCTCATCTTTTGCTCAAGTTTTCTCAGAATTTATCTTTCTAATGTCTTTCAAACGATCCTACGTTTAACTTGACACCAAAACTTTGTATTTCTCTTTGTCTCTGTTCTAATTTACCTATCCAAACCTCAGAGAATCGTATTCATGCTCAGAATTAAGACATTTTCAGGGTTAATTGACTGAAATGCGGCTGTCACGGGACGATCCAGGCTTGCCGCTATACCATAATGAGAACAACCGCAACCAAACACTTCGTCGGATCAGAACTCGAGCCAGATTTGTGAGTTTTAGTTCATTCACATTAATTTTTGAATTAAAAATCATTATTCTTTTGAATTTGCAGTGGTTCGCACAAAGGAGCACCGGAGTGAAGATTGGATTGTTATTCTTGATCGGTTTCCTGCTTTTCGGTCTTCTGAAAATCTGCAGTAACGCAATTACGACGGACGTTCATCAGATGGCAGTACCAAATCAAGTCAGTAAATTATCAAAACTTGGAACTGTTGTTATTAAAATGATGTTTCAGAACCAAGATCCAATCATTATCAACGAGCAAATTATTGGTGGAAAGCCGGAAAACCCGAAAGAAGATGATGAACGAGTTAACGATGACATGGCAGTTGAGATGGACAATCGTCAGAGTGATGCGGAAAACAGTCCTGCACACAAACAGGCACACAGGGCAACAGGCAAAAGTGTCAAGTTCAACGGTAAGTCATAATCCTATCATTGAGAAATGAATGAAACTTTCAGGACCGGACAATGAACGACAAAAAGCTGTTGTGAAAGCATTCCAACATGCTTGGCTTGGATACAAGAAGTATGCATGGGGACACGACACTCTGAAGCCTGTCAGCAAATCGTATTCCGATTGGTTTGACACCGGATTGACTATCGTTGATGGTCTGGATACAGCACTGATTATGGGTCTTGAAGAAGGTAAGACACTATTTTTAAGTTGAAATTCTATTCTGCATTTTTTTACAGAAGCCGCCGAAGCAACAGAATGGATTCAAAACAAGTTGACATTCGAAAAGGACAGAATGGTGAACTTTTTTGAGTGCACCATTCGTGTTCTTGGTGGAATGATGAGTGCTTTCTATCTCACTGGAAATGAAATGTTCCTGGAAAAATCGGTTGATCTGGGAGATCGGCTGCTGTCGGCGTTCAAATCGCCATCACCGATTCCGTTCAGTGATGTTAATTTGCTCAAGAGGTGAGAACAAATTGTCGGAAGATTGATAGCTGTCTGCCCTCGAGAACAAATTACCATTGTCCCCGAAAAATCGGTTCCCTGGTCTTGTTATGAACAAATAGTTCTTTGTGATGTTCGTAACGCTTTCGATTTGTAATTGCTCTTAAGAAAAAAGGATTGATGACCCTGACACAATTCAAACCTACTTTTGTTTCAGAACAGGCACCAATCCACAATGGGGATCCGATTCATCTCTCTCCGAAGTCACAACTGTCCAATTGGAATATCGAGCCATCTCCCGAGCAAGTGGCAATTCCACCTATGAAGATCTATCATTCAATGTCTCACAACACATTCATAAAATCGGATGTGATCATGAAGGGTTGTGTGGAATGTTCATCAATGCGAATACAGGAACATTCAAAAGTAGACAATTATCGAGTTTAACGAGAAACTGAAATCTTATTCTTCAGAGGGCGCTACCATTACCTTCGGAGCCAGATCAGACAGTTATTACGAGTACTTGTTCAAACAGTGGATTCAGACTGGAAAGACTATTGACTGGTTGAAAGACGACTACGGAAAGGCTATGGCAGCCATGGAGAAGCATTTGTATAGAAACTCAGAGCCTAATAAAATGTTTTTCATTGGAGAGCTACTGAGTGGAGAGACATACTCTCCCAAAATGGTAAGATCTTTTTGCCAAGTTTGCATGTCAATCTCATAATATTCCAGGACCATCTTGTCTGCTTCATCGCTGGAACTTTATCGCAAGGAAGCCAAAATGGTTTTCCACGTAAACATATGGATATGGCTGAGAAGATAGGAGAGACTTGCCACAACATGTACGATAATCCAACTGGTTTGGGTCCAGAGATTGCTCATTTCAATATGATTCCTGGAAAGGAGGATTTGTATGTGAAACCGCTGGATGCGCATTGCTTGCTCCGGCCAGAAGCGATTGAAGGATGGTTCTACTTGTACAGGTTTACTGGTAAGATTGCTCATTAACTTGTCACATGTTTTAAGAAATAGGAGAGTGACGTATAATTGTTTTATAATAACATAGGTCAAAATTGTTGACGATTTTGAAGAAATTCAAACCAAAACATAAATTATGAGTTTAACAACTTCGTCACCCAATAACTACTTCCTTCTTCAACAAACTAAGATTTCAGGCAACAAAAAGTATCAGGAATGGGGATGGGCAGCATTCCAAGCTATTGAGAAGTATGCTCGAATTTCTACTGGAGGATACTCTTCAATCTCCAATGTGAAAAAGATCAATGTACAGTATCGTGACTCGATGGAGTCGTTTTTGCTTGGAGAAACCTTCAAGTACCTATATTTGCTTCTTGGAGATGATCAAACTGTTTTGCCACTTGATAAATGGGTTTTTACTACGGAAGGCCACCCGTTGCCTATCTATGACCACTGAGTCTTCGGTTTTTGTAAAATTAATTTAAGTGTGTTTCTAGTCTGTTTCATGGAAAAGTGTTTTTGGTGTTATTGTTGTCTTATGTTAAGGCTTGTTCAGCTATCTGGGTCTATTTTATATTTGTAAACATACCAACGACCGCATCTCTTAAAATATATCTGTTGATAAATTGGACTTTATTCATTGACCAAAAAAATAAAAATTAAAGAACTAAACGAGTGATAAGAAAAATGACGATCATAAATGAGACTTGATGAAAGATTGATGGATATGAATTCACGAGAAGTTGAGATTCTTTTGAATTGTCCTGTGGCAGTGTTGAGTTATTGGAAGACGCGGAAGAAGTGGAAATTTCTAGTGTTGTCGTTGTTGTGTCCAGCGCTGCAGTTGTGCCGGAAACAAGTGTGTGGAGACACTTTTGAGGACAATGCTTCACTTCACAATCACATGGATTCTCGGCTTTTTCTATTTTCGACATTTCAATTTTTCTTGAGAAGACGTCAGAAAGCGCAGGAGAAATTGTAATTGGTGTGGAAGTGACAGTGGTCATTGTTGAGGTTGTGGTCACAATTGGTTTGTGATCAATTTCGCCACGTTGCTTGTTGTAATGATGGCTTCGATGGTACATGTTACACCTGGAATATTCAGTACTGGTCAATAAGATCTACGGAAATCTTTTTTTTTTCGACCATTTTCATGAGTCTGCAGCTCGGTTGTCGAGTTTTCAATCACTGCAAAAATTTTGGAGGATGAGAAACAGACTTACGAGGGAAGTGTTTTCAGACAGTGGTTGAGAATTTCTTGAAAATTGGTACACATATACTTTCGGACATGGTCAATAACGAGACAACTTTTTTTCGTGCCCCTCGGTACCTAGAAGCTGAAAAAACGCGTCTGAAATTTCACCTCCGTTAAAGCATTAAAAGCGTGAGCGCGATCTCCACCTTTCTTATACAAATTGTGGAAGCAGTGATGAACAGCGAGTGTGGTGTAGTGGTGAAGAGGGATGGTGGTAACTGACAAGAGTTAGTTCGATCCCTCTTTCCCCTCTTTGTTATCTGCTTTTTTTTCTGATCTTGCTGGAAATCTCAAAGTGTGTTAAAACCTTTAGAAAAAATTTCCATTCAGATTTTTATTAATTAAAAAAAAAAAATATTTTTGACTTGTTTCAAAAAAAAACCCAAGAAATCATTTTGAAATTTTCTTGAAGAACTGCTGGAAAACCATCTTTGATCAATTGTTAGTCAGAACCACCCAGATTTGCTCAGTTTGGATGCGGAACAGTAATAAATTTGTCAGAAATTATGTAAACCTATGTTTTTACAAGATTTGAGTGCTACTGGGTGATTACCGCAGGCCTACGATCCATTAAAGTTTTGAAAGAAAGCACACATTTGTAATTTCCAGAAATATTTACAATACCAAATTTCATGAAAAGACTCATTTTATCGGTTCTTTACGTTTAGAAATTATTTTAGCACATTTGAAAATTTTTCAAAAATTGTAAAAATTTCCAAAGGGCCCCCATGGCGACTTTTTTTCAAAAAAATTTTTTTTTTGAAAAATGAGGCTACTTTCTCAGATTGTTTCTAACCCCTCCAAAAATTCACTCCAACAGTGAGAAATTAGCATTGAAATCACTTTCAGAGCCCATAACTTTTTTGTGAGGGGCAAGGGGCAAAAAATAAAAGCAGCGCTGTGATCAGCGTGTCCAAAAGTACCAATGACCAAAGTTTGAACAAATTCTCAACCACTGTCTGAAAACACTTCCCTTGTTAGATTGAAAGCTTTGTTATTACAGTTTTTTTAAAAGAAAATTCCTAGTTTTTCAGCTACTTGCCGATTTCTGAATGTGACCTGTTTTTTTAACGTTCTCAGCACAAAAACATGCGAAAATTACCAAAGTGATCGGAAACTTGACCGCCGAGCTCTAGATTTCTGAAATAAGTCGGCATAGCTGTGAAGTAACTGAAAACTAGGTTTTATATATATTGGATCTATTTCTTATTTTTCTCGAACTTCGTTTTTATTTGAAGCTGGTTTTGAAGGGAAAACTGTTAAACTTGGCATATTTTTTGTAACTCTAACCCAAATCTTGCAAAAAATATTACGAAGATGTAGAATCAGAAAAGTCTGTTAATTGATTTTTTTTCCACATATTTTTATGGAAACCTAGATAACTGAGTTCACGGCTTTAGTAAAAATGCTTTTCCAATGGAATACATACAATAATTTACAAACCTGCCGCTGAAAAAATGTCTATCCGCAAATATCATAAACACTTTTTTCTGTTTTCCTTCCAAGTCGTTTTTTTCTCGTTATTTTTTTCCAACTCAGATCCAAATCTTGATAGTGCTTTTAATTGCGAAACACTCATTTAGTCATTCTAACACGCATTTCGCTATTTTTTGTTTCATCTCGTTTTTTCCTCCTAGCTCTTGACAGATTCGTACATTTTGTTCCGCTTGAATTTGTGCCCATGTTTTAATTGTGTATAACCGCGCAATGAATATTATATAACAGAGTACAACAACGCCTCCATGAAAAGAAGCACGACACCGGAATAAAGAACTCTAGTTGTTATTACTCCACTTCGACATGATCTTGGTCTACACATGAATCTTTACATCATCAACAGCATTTTGCTGTTGACAGGTTTTTTTTTTTGATTTTATCATATCTGGAAAACAAAATTATTTTAGTTTCATCGATTTCTGCACAGTACTGCACAGCTGTATGTATGACAAAATTTCATCGTTCGATTGCTGAGATAACAGGTATCGGTAGGTTCTTTTTTTGGTCATGCATCCAGATTTTTGCTTTTTAACGAATTTGCATGACCTGCTGATGAAACTTTTCAGAACATTTTTACAGTTTAAATTCAGGCTCATCGGAAACAACAAC